AATTCACCTTATACACTTACAAAAAGCGAATAAAAATGTAAACAAAGAGAGAATCCCTTTATATCCTTACATACTCTTCTTTGACATTCATGATCTATGACTCAATGTTAACTTCATCTTGTCCTATCCTACCATAGACACATTCAAGGAGTCTCAATATTGTCCAAAGCTTGCCTAAATAAAACCCATGATTTCCATTTAAATTAATTTTTCTCCTGTCCGTCATATTTAATAGCCGTTAAATCTTCCATTAATTTATAATCTATTTTATTAAACCAGTCTCTTATAGTTGGTACCATTATTTTATTCCAATACACGGGAATTAAGGCCTTAGCTGCATTAAGAAATATAGGAACTAATGTTCTTTTATAATTCGACATAGGTATATCTGTTACATGAAGACACACCAGTGGATTATTAGCTATAGTTATATTAGTAATTTGTTTGATTAACCACTTTGGTCCAGAACATTTTAAGTTTAGGAAAATGCCACCATATATGCAAGTAAGTACCCGCTGCCCCACATCCCCGCCAACATTCTATCGGTTTAGATGGGTGCATCTTATGTAACCGATCTGGTGTATAGTACCATCTAGCTATGAAACGTTATGTTGTATCTGTCACTAACGTACTGATTGATGATACTGAATGAGCCCTAAGGATTTGTTGTTAGTCAGTCCAGTTAGTTTGAAAATTCCGTTCCCATCTCGTAAGATAATTTGGAACAGAGATTAAGAACAATTGAGTAATTTCGTGAGATACCATGTCTCGGAAAATCTGGTGAAGAAAACAATCTCTCCTTTGGCAAAAGTTCTCTATCTGAACGTATTGGTGTCAGAAGTTTAGTCCCAAAATGATGTAATTGTCTATATCTCCATGTATTAAAGAGGGATGTCCCCCATTGTTCTCGGAGTCGTTGTAATGAATAGATATGTTTCCCATCATGGACCTAAAAGAGTCTCAATGTTTGATGTATAGTCCAATGCAAAAATCCACTATTGTGTTATCCCGGTAAAAAATAAGAGTGGCCCGTTAAAGGCATCAGTGGGGAGTTATACTTGCCAATCAAACCACTATACAGTTTATCCCATTATTATTATTATTACATAGTATTTATATAGCGCCAACAGTTTGCGCAGCGCTTTACAATATAAGGAAGACATTACAGTTACAATACAATTCAAGACAAGATGGTAAGGAGGGCCCTGCCCCTGAGGGCTTACAATCTAAAAGAGGAGGGGGAAATGATACATGAGGTAGCTGTGGGAATGAATTATGTGAGAATGTGAAGGTTCAGTGGTTAGGTTGAGGTGGGATAGGCTTCCCTGAAGAGATGAGTCTTTAGGGAACGCCTAAAGGCAGTCAAGGTGGGAGATAGACGGACAGGTTGGGGTAAGGAGTTCCAGAGGATGGGAGAGACTCTAGAGAAGTCCTGGAGGCGAGTATGGGAGGAGTGGACAAGGGAGCTGGAAAGAAGGAGGTCAATGGATGAGCGGAGGGGACGTTTAGGGTGATACTTTGAGACAAGGTCTGAGATATATCCGGGGGCGGAGTTGTGGATGGCTTTATAGGTGACTGTTAATATTTTGAATTTTATCCTCTGGGCGACTGGAAGCCAGTGCAGGGATTGGCAGAGGGGGGATGCAGACACTGAGCGGTTGGTAAGGTGAATGAGTCTGGCAGCTGCATTCATGATAGACTGAAGGGGGGATATCCTGTGTAGTGGAAGGCCAATGAGGAGGGAGTTACAATAGTCAAGACGAGAGATAACAAGGGAGTGTATGAGTAGTTTTGCGGTGTCATTGGTGAGGAAGGGGCGTATTTTTGAGATGTTACGAAGGTGAAGGCGGCAGGATTTGGATAGCGATTGGATGTGGGGAAGAAAGGTGAGGTCCGAGTCAAGGATGACACCTAGGACCTTGGCATGAGGGGAGGGTTGGATAGTTGTGTCATCAATCACAACTGAAATGTTGGGGGAAGGTGCACGGGGTGAAGGAAATATCATGAGCTCAGTTTTTGAAAGGTTGAGTTTTAAGAAATGTTGTGACATCCAGACTGATATGTCATTTTAGTAGATTAGTGATTAGTAGATTAGATCCCATATGTCGAGAGTATGCTTAGTCAAAGGGGACATACCACTTTCCAAATAGCGAGTTTTTGGTGGTATCCAACATACATTCTACAGACATTGTCCTGATAGTGAGTTTTCTAGTGATGCCCAAAATTTAGTTTTAGTGTGATAGTGCCAATCTAACATTCTATTAAGTGCCACTGCTTGATAATAGCCAATTATTGAGTTTGATCGGATAAAAAATAAAATACATTTTAAAAAATGGCTCCAGTGATGGACAGCTAGCTTGTATTGAGATTGTAGTCCATCACCGGAGCAAGCTTGGAGCGGTGGAAGTAAAAAAGAAAACCAAAGTGTGGTGTGCAATATAGTGAAATGGAAAGTGTAAAATTATACAGCAATCAATGCAGAATGGCACCGGCTATAGAGGACTACAAATCCCAGCAATAGTAGGTTATACAGCGCAATGCAGAATATCAGCTATAGAGGACTAAAAATCCCAGCAATAGTACATAATAGCTGGCGGTATTCTGCATTGCGCTGTATAATGTACTATCGCTGGGTTTTGTAGTCCTCTATAGCTGGCGGTATTCTGCATTGCGCTGTATAATGTACTATTGCTGGGTTTTGTAGTCCTCTATACAGCGCAATGCAGAATACCACCAGCTATATAGGAGTACAACAAATCCCAGCAATACATTATACAT